CAAACGAGAGAAATCGAAACAACGAGTATCCAAAAGGAAATATCTGGTTTGATAAGGTTGACTGTCTGCTACTGAATCAAGTGTCTCCAATGTTTTATTCTTTCCCTGCATATTGTTTTTTTTTTCGTTTACTCAGTGACTAGTTCAGAAGAAATCCTTTCATGCTCCTATTTTAAATGTCTTTCACTTTGGAAACCAAGCTGCTATTTCAGTAGCTGTGGTTCATTAGCCAACCCATTCAAAGAGCGTGTTCCTGCCATGCCCTTTTTATTTTAGCTGACCCTGTTTTGTCCTGCTTCTGCTTCACAGATGAATTTGATAGAAAATGTGAAGTTATGGCACCAAAAAGTCTGCATTATTCGTAATCCATTTAGTGGTTTGGACACAGGCTCAATAGCATCTATCCAAGAAAAATATCACTGGTAGGTCTTTCTCTTCTGGAAAACTGCATGACATGAAAATATTTCTCATTTTCTCAAAAGAGGATAATTTTCATTTATGTATTTGGCCTGGGAGAGACCCTTTGTTTCCTTGCCATAGCTCTGCCAGAGGAAATCCTGCTGCACACACCAGTGCTTCTGCTGCAGGCACATGGACTGGGGAGGTGCAAGACACCGTGGGGCTGAGTGTGCTCCAGGGTCACTCAGTAGAGGATGAGTGCTCCTTGTTGGTGAGCTTTGTTCCCCTTCCAGGTTGCTCCTCCTCAATTCTCTCCTTCATGGTTTGTGCAGGAAGTAACGAGTATCACCCCCACCCCTACCAAGGGATCTGGTCTGCAACCAATTTCCCTTTGACTATCACTTTCCTCTAGGCTCAAGTTCACCATATCTCTTTTTTTTCTTCCTGTAGACACCAGTGTACCTAAATCAAGGATCTTCTATATTTCTTGCTGCTCTGCATGATCTTCCCTAAATGCCACAGGCAGCACCGTAGCTGGTAGCATTTGGTGGCCTTTTGTGCTGACATTTCAGCCTCTTACAAAAAAGAACTGCCCTTATCTGCCAGCCACAGAGCCCAAGGCTTTTCTTCTAGCTGACTTTTGCTTCCAGCTGCCTACCAGTGTGCAGAGGCAGAGATTTCCAAGCAGCAGGCTTCCTGGTCTGCAGCAGCAGGAGCCAGGAAGAATAAAAAATATTATAGATACAGAGCAGCAACTGTTTTCTTATATTAATAATAGAGTAGATTATTGATGCTTCTGATGAATTATATCTAGGCTTGTCAAACAATGGGCACTATTTCCTGGCGAGGCAAAAAAAAGGTGAAATTTTTGTTTGTGTTTTATTATCTTCATTGATTCAAAACATAGAAAAATCCATACGCTCAGAACGTCAAATCTTCTCATAGTGAATGGCAGTGAAAACATATTCTACCCACTCAACTCTGGTGTTCGACACCACCCACACCTCAGTGGCCGCTTTTTCTGCCTTTGTTTGCAGTGTGGGCAGTGGCTTGGGTTTGCTTTCTTGCTTCTCCTCCTCTCCCTCTGTCTTTTCTCTTTCAGCAGGAGAAAAAAGGAAAGCAAGAGCATGCAGCAGAAGTTGTCCATTTCTACTCCAACTAGAACAGAAATTTTGTGTTGCAGATCACTCCAAAACAGATGTTTCTTTCATAATCATGAAAAAAATTAAAAAAAAAAAAAAACAAAAAACACAACAGAAAAAGGAAATGATCGCATCCTTCCAAACATTGTGAGTTTTGTAGTGTTGAAAAAGATGCATTTTTCATTTTGAAAGAATTGAAAATGTCTCAAGCTGTTCTAGCTATTAATCCACACATCCAGCCTGAAATGGGATGGAAATGATAAGCGTCTCGGAACCAAGCCCGTGCCGGTTGCTCGGCAATAGTTTAACGATTATCTTGGATGTGATTAATGAAAATCACACTTAAGAGCAGTCCTTCTGCACCACACCCTGCAAGACCTCCCACTCATCCTGCAGCACTGCTCTGAGCAGACGCCAAGGGCTTATCAGGCCCTGAGAGCAGCACAACCCACCGCAGACCTCAGGAAGAGCAGCAGCCTCCCCTCTTCCAGCCAAAGTATGGTTTTTCCTGTATTTTTTTCTTTCCTGTGCCTGGCAGAGCAACACAGCCATCCTGCATCCCACCAGGCAGTTCTCTGTTGCTGAGCAACCCCGTGCTTGCTGAGAGGGCCCTTTTGCAGCAGGAAATCTGGTGAGGAAATAGTGAGGGAAATGAGGAGAAGAGCAACGAGAGCCTTGCCGGGGACATGCACTGAGGGGCAACGATGCTGCTGCCAATCCTGCTCCTCTCTACCTGCCCTGTTCTGATGCAGTGAGTGGCCTCATCCATCAGTTAATTAATTAGTTAAAGAGGATTCCTCGTCTGCAAAGCCATGTCCACTTGAGTGGAGGTGGGAGAGGGATAGAGGTGGAAGGAGGTGGTGCTGAGCTTGGTTGGTGGGTTTGGTGAGGGCTGTGTGGGTCTCTTTCTGGAACATCAGGCAAGAATTTTTGTACACATTGACAAATAGCTGCCATTGTAGTAGAGTATAGCTTAAGCTGATCTGTAAGATCTGCAGGAGGCATCATGCTAGATGGCTTCTCTTGTTTAGAATGAGAGGTAATGAGCTTACACCGTGCCAGGTGAGGTTCAGGCTGGATATTAGGATAGGTTTCTTCTCTGAAAGAGTGTTGAGGCAGTGGAACAGGCTGCACAGGGAGCTGGTGGAGTCACCATCCTGGGAGGTGTTCAAGAGCCATGTGGATGTGGCACTGAGGGACGTGGGCAGTGGGCACGGTGGGGGTGTGCTGGTGGTTGGACTTGGTGATCTCAGTGGTCTTCCCAACCTTAGTGATTCTATGATTCTACACTCAGCAAGCACAACATTGCTTTGTGCGTGTTGTTGCATGGAAGTATCTTGCTACAAGGATATGTGCAGGTCTCGTGGGCTCTTTGGGGCTGCCCTTCCCAAAGAGCTGAGTTCCATCAAACCTCACTGTGACATTGTAAACCTGAGCTGCTGCTTCTGCCTGGCATAAGCAGAAAATTTAGAAGACAGCTGTGTGATAATGACATCTACATGCCATATCACTAGGATGGAGGCAACAAAGCTCCTTGAAAGAGGTTTCTTTCAAAAGCATAGCAATTCTCAAAATACATGGCAAACTACCATTTTCTGGCTGCCATCATAGACTAGCTCAAAGATCTATGTATAATTTCTAAGCTTCGTTTTCAAGACTGTTTCCTACGCACCTCATCTGTGCTCAGCGACAGCCAAGGCTGAACAGAAATGCTTGGTGGAACAAGGAGATCAGGGCATGGGGGCAAGTGCAAATGCCATGAACAAGCTTCTGATGTGGTTCCAATTAACCTGTTCCCAATTTTTGAACAAAAAGCTGCTTTTGTAACATTTTAGGGTGATACAGGCATGGAGCACTGCAGGAAAATACAATTGCATGTGCTGTTCCTTGGGAATATGAGCACTGGTATACGCATTCCTAAATCAATCAAGAATGCACGAACATCTTGGCCATCCAGACAGCATTAATAGAACCAGAAACTCCGCTGCCAATGTGTTTTTCATGTCAGAGCTCTGGAGTGCCTGGGGCTTGCTATGGGAAAGGCCAGGGCTGAAGCCCTTCCTTTTTCCTTGGGTCACTGAGCTGGCAGCCAGGAGTCCAGGTTACTGTTCTTAAAATCATCAGGGAAAAAATGAAGCCTGAAGAATGTTGAGAAACTGAGGGATATGGGCTTTATATATGATGTAGTGAAGATGAAGACAGATTGCTAGTGTTTAATTTTGGTAACATCCAGAGAACAGCGGGGTAGGAGCAGCGCTAAGCCAACGGGTGATGCAGAGCTGCTGGCAGGAAGCAATGCAAAGGGCTGATGTGTGTATAGGGACAGCAGCCACCTCCCAAGGAATGGGATAAACTTCTGGATGCAAGTACTTGGCTCTAGCATGGGCACTCTCACCAGCAGATTCCAAAGAGCTTTACACCAGAGCACACAGCCAAATGTGGATATGCAGAGTAGTGCTGCATGCTGGATGCTCGTGTAACAGAACAGCACAGCCTCTTTCCTCTGCAGCTGGCAGGATGCACTGCATCCCCTGCCTTCTCTGCAGTGCTTGTCATCCTTGCTGGGCTGCTCCCTTGCAGACAAACCCTAAATGCCATCATCACCCTCCTGCTCATGCAAAGGGGAGGAGAGGCTGCCTTCCCTCCAGAATGCAGAAGGAGTACTTTGGTCAGAGTTGCCTCTGCCAGCACTTCTGGTGCCCAGCCTCAGTCCTGCTCTAGGCCAGGCTGGAGAGCCAGCAGTTTCTGTAACCCTCACAACTCTGGCCAAAGGCAAGCAGTTTGTGGGTGTGATCTCTGGTTTATAAGTGTATTGGGAACCTCTGGCAAGCTCTTGCATTAGTTCCAACCCATCCTCTAGCTTATTCCCAGTGCCCTTTGGGAACTCAGAAGCCTTGCTGCAAAGCTCTGGTTTGGGGCATGACTTGATTACAGGCATGTTAGCTGAGCTGCTTTTTTCAGGCAGTTTCAGGCCACCCCACATCCTACAGCAGGAGACACAGCACTGCAGTCTGCTTTAGCACCATTTCCAAGAGACAACACCACCAATCAGAGTTTTTGGTGTTTCTCTGAGGGGGAAACCAAGCCAAGCGAGCATCCAAGAAGTCCATCCATGTGTCACTGCAAGTCTCCAGGAATGAAGCAGTGCGAAGGGCCAAGACTCAGATTAAATATGTGTTCCTGCCACACCATTATTCCTTCCCAATCAGCAAGCGTCCCACACTTGCCCTTTGCTCCAGCAGCAGGATATCCTCCGTTTGTCTGCACAAAGTGTGGATGAGCGCTCCTCTGCCTTGTTTCCCAGCCCGCCGATGGGAGGGTCAGCGGGGCCAAAGCAGCTGCCGCAAGGAGAGGAAAGGTAACCACGGCAACCCAAGTTATCTGCATCCTCCATGTGTTTCCTTCTCCCCACCCTGCACCATATCTCCCCCACCCAAATCTCATACCGGTAGAACCAGGGAGCAGCTGGCAGGATGGGGGCTGCGGCCGCGTGTCTGTCACCTGGTTATGCTTTGGGGCTCACCGCATTGGACTGAGATCACTGGAGAGGATCTGGGAGACTGCAGAAGGGCAGTGTGCAACAGACAGAGCTCTCCACTATTGTAGATGGGGCGCTGGATATGCTGCCTTTGCTCCAGAGTTGCAGATTGGTTGATGCTGCTCCTGGTTTTGGCTCGTAGCTCTAACCCTTCCGCAGCAGCAACAGCTTCGCCGTCTGCGCCCCACGTCAGACCCAGCTACAGCTTTGGCCGCACTTTCCTGGGACTTGATAAATGCAACGCCTGCATTGGGACGTCCATTTGCAAGAAGTTCTTTAAGGAGGAAATAAGGTCAGAAACTCAGCACAGTCGTTTTCTCATAATAACTTGAAAACTGCCTGTTAGCATTTCCCTATGCTTTATTGGAAGCCAATGGAAAGATAACATCACCAGGCTGCCACTGCAGCACCTCGTATTTTAAATTATTTTACATGTCTATGTGCCGCTGCTCTGCTTCTGTTTTCTCTTACAACCATGCAGACCTGATCAGACCTCAGCTCTGAACCTTAACTTGAAAGCAGGAGTGAAAGACACAGCTCTCTGCACAGGGATGTCTCTGAAAGAGCTCAAGACAGTGATGGAAGGGGGAGGTGGGGGAAGGGAGAAATCAGTGTGTTTCAGTGTCACTGGAAGCATGATGCTATGAGCAGCTGAGAAAGGTGAGGGCTGATTCACTTTGTGTTCTCCCAGTTGGATATGTTAACTACAAATATACCACCTTGCACCAGCTGCAAGAACTTGTATGTGCAGAATTGCCTCCAGGTTGATGGGATGTCCACTGCCTTAGTCAGGCTGCCCTAAGCAACTTCAGGCTCAAAGCAGAGCACATCTGCTGGCAGGAGGAAAATGTCGCTGATAAGTTTGAGGAGAAAGTAAAAGACAGCACTTGGCAGAGGAAGGGTTTATTGGGTCTGATAAGATTTATAGAGCCGGATGAATGTTCTTTTATAGAGCCGGATACACTTGCTTTTATGGATATAAAAACCTGGGAGAGAAGGAATGACTATAGCAAAATTGTATTCTTAATGCTGCAATATGAGCAGTATAACATTGGGCAAACTACTCTTTTCCTACGGAGTGACTCCATTAAATGCAGCACAGTAAAGCCAGAATGCTCTGGATGAGGTGGCCATGCCAGCACCCTGTGCCCAATGCTCCTTCTGCTCCACTGCCCCCTGGCTTCCTGACTCTGGCTCATGCTGCAGGCAATGTGAGGGTATGCAGAAATGTCCCGCAACACCAAGAGAGGCAGGGACAAAATGTGTCCCCTTGCTTGATTCCTAAAGCAGTCAGAATATGGGGCAAAAGTAGAAAATTTTGGAGGCACTCCTATATCCACTCCCATGTACCTTTTCCTGTGTTCACAAAGATGGATTTCTCTCTTAATTTGCACTGGGAATGATACATTACTGTGATGCTCAGAGGGCTGGAACACCTCTCCTATGAAGACAGGCTAAGAGAACTGGGCTTGTTTAGCCTGGCGAAGAGAAGGCTCCAGGGAGAACTCTTTGTGACATTCCAGTACTTAAAAAGAGCTTAAAAATAGGAGGGAAATCAACTTTTTACACAGGCAGGTAGTGATAGGACAAGGGGGAACTTTTTTAAACTAAAAGAAGGGAAACCTAGATTAGGTGTCAGGGAAATCCTTTACCCAGATGGTGGTAAGGCAGAGGCTGCCCAGAGAAGCTGTGGTGCCCCATCCTTGGAAGTGCTCAAGGCCAGATTGGATGGGGCCCAGGGCAGCCTGAGCTGATGGGGGGCAGCCCTGCCTATGGCAGGTGTTGGGGCAGTGTGGGCTTTGAGCTCCCTTCCAAACCAAACCATTCTGTGAGTCTGTGATGCTCCTTGCAGCTTTGTGTCAATGCTGGTAACTAGTTTTGGCCAAAACTACTGGAAAAGTTTGAAAAAGCTGGAATGTTTGGTTGTTGTTGTTTGTTTGTTTTTAATTTTTTTCTTTCTTATTTTCTTTCTTATTTTTTTAATACTTATTTAATATACATATTTAAAATATTCAGTACTTCAAAGACAAGCAAAATTATTTTGGCTGAAACAAAAGACTTGGTTTCATCCAGTATAAAGAAAAGCAAGTTTGATTTCCTCCCTTGTTCAATTCTGGGCTGATGCAAACCCCACAGCTGGCAAATCAGCTCTTCATGCAGATCTCACCAACCATTTTCTCTAAACCCAATCTGGCCCTGAGTAACTGCTCAGGCCCTGCACGAGGCTGACTTACTGCTGTGGCATAACACAGTGACGCATCTCATAGGCATCCAGCATGCGTGCCAGGACAGCATTGGGCTGCCTGGAAACGATGCCAAGCACAGAGTGGCCATGACCCCAACTGGGACCCCCTGGCATCCTTGGGGAAACGGCTCTCCCAGTGCTGTATGCCCGGAGCTGGGCTCTGTGCTGCGTCATGCATCCTGGCTCTGATGACTGCAGGAGGTGGCTCTGCACTGGTGCCTGCCTGACATGAGCTCCCCTGAGATGGGCACGAGCCAAGTCACAAGGCATGTTTATGCTTAATTAAAAAAAAAAAAAAAAAAAAAAGAGAGAGAGAGAGAGAGAAGGAAAGAAAGTCCCAGCCTGTAGCCATCTCTTTCCTTTACGTGCCTGGCATGCTGTGCCTGCCTTACAGATTAGGCGCTGGGAGGGGTCGTGACGCAAAGCAAATCACAGCAAGGCACGGCAATCACTTTCTGCTCTTTGGTCCAATCTCACAACCAGCCAAAAAAAATTTTTTTAAAAAAAAGCAGGAGGGGGGAGTTCATTTTAGGTCAGATACTTGGATCACAGGGAAGCTCTGATTTCGTACTGGGCAAAACGCCCCAAAGACCAAAATGCCCTGACCTCGGCATGGGGCCAGCTGCTGGCTGCAGAAGGAGCCGGTCCATTTCTGTGTCCGAAAGCACCCCTGGCACGAGAAGCCATCAGTTCTTGGAAGCAGAAAGAGGCTGCACACACTGATCCTTGAAGGGTAAATTTAGTGGGGATGAAAGCTAATGAACCCCCTCAACATTTCTCAGTGTGGAGTTCCCAACTGGAAGTCAAAAAGAAAAATTAGCTTCAACCCTCGGCCTCATTAGTGCCTTTTCATTTACCGGCAGCTAGCTGCTCCTGAAGGGCACCCCTTGCCTCTCCTGTTTCAGTTCTGAGCTATCATCAGCTTTAATTTATAGTGAGATTAAATTAAGAAATGCTTTCTTATGCACTCTGGCAATGTATAATTAGGAGACCCCAGGGGCAGCCAGTTCAGCTGCTGGCCATGCTGAAGGCTGGGATTCAGCTGAGCTCTCGCATCTTGCCAGTGAGCTTACAGAAAGCACGACTCAGGCTGGGCTGTGGGGGCAGCCCAAAAAAACATCATCACAGCTTAACTGGTTGGCCAAACACTCCCCTCTGAGGCCTGTGCAGGGGGAGAATTTTGGTGCACAGTGCTCATGGCCACAGCAATGACATGCGTCTGGCACAAAGTGTCCCCTCCTTATCCTGCCAAGATCCCCCAAAACTTCTGTAGTCTTGCATCCTGGTCTTGCATACTGGCTGCTAAAACCCTGTGTCAGAGGCGCGCAATGACCCTGGCACTGAGTTTCCATCCCATATCCTACATCTCCCCTTATAGCAAGAGAGTTCCTGGTCATGGGGACAGCTCCAGGCAGCCAGGCACCCTCATCTGAGCCTCCTTCACTGGCCTCAGCCCAAGGGGTAGAAGGAAGGTGGCTGCCCAGAGCTGTGACATGGCCAGGAAAACTGTGTGAACCCCAGAGAAGACTTTGTAGCTGAGGAAAGCACTCAGTCATGATATTAAACTTTTTTTTTTCCTAGAGATTTATCAATGGCATTGAAAACTTCAAACAAAATCACAGAATCATAGAATCATAGAATGGCTTGGGTTGGAACGGACCTTTAAGATCATTTAATTCCAACCTCCTGCTATAGAGAGGGGCACCTCCCACTACACCAGGTTGCTTAAAGCCTCATCCAGCCTGGCCTTGAGTGCTTCCAGGCAGGGGACATCCACAGTCTCACTAGGCAACCTGTTCCAATGTCTCACCACCGTCACAGTAAATAATTTCTTCCTAATATCTAGTCTAAATGTAGGCTCTTCCAGTTTAAAAGCACTTCCCCTCATCCTACCACTACCTGCCCTTTTAAAAAAATCCCAGCTTTCCTGTAGGCTCCCTTCAGATACTGGCAGGCCACAATGAGGTCTCCTCTCAGCCTTATCTTCTCCAGGCTGAAGAACACAGCTCTCTCAGTCTGTCCTCACAGGGGAAGTGCTCCAGCCCTCTTATCATCTTCATGGCCCTCCTCTGAACTTGCTCCAACAGCTTGACGTTCTTCTTGTTTTGCAGGCTCCAAAACTGGACACGATACTCCAGGTGGGGTCCTACGAGAGCAGACAGGCAGAATCACCCCCCCTCACCTGCTGATCATGCTATCTTACATGATCTTTATTTCAGCATTAGTTCAAGGCCAGATTGGGTGGGACTCTGGGCAACCTGATCTAGTGCCTGATTTAGTTGTTGGCAACCGTGCTTATGACAGGGAGGTGGAACTAGATGATCTTTCTGGTTCTTTTCACCCAAGCCATTCTATCATTTGTTATTCTATGATTCCATGATTAATGAAAAAAAATTACACCTGTCTATCATGCATTAACACCAGGTAAATCATACAATCATAGAATAGCCTGCATTGGAAAGGCCCCATGAGCATTATCCAATAGAACTCCAGGCTCCACACAGGACCACCCAAAAATCAGACCAAATATCTGAGACAATCGTCTAGACACTTGAACTCTGGCAAGCTCGGTGCCGTGACCATGCCACCACCTTAGAGAGAAAGGTCATCCTGATAATTCCAAACACATTTATTTTCATAAGTTTTTGTTCTGCAGAGTATTTGAAAGTGTTGATTATTCCTTTTTTGGCCAATTTCCCTTTGCAGCTTAGGAAATCTCAAAATGTCAAAAATTCCCTCTTAACCGAAACCCTGAGACTTCTCCCTTCTTTTTTACTCTCCATGTGGTCCAAATTTTAGCATTTATCTCTCCTCTCCCCCTCAGGGCACCCCCATAACAAGGAATATTTTTAAGTGAGGAATGAACGAGGACATTTTGTCCGAGCATATTTCCACCCGGTCTTCTCACTGAGTGCACATGAGACCGCGCTCTAACCCACATGGGCCCCACATGGGAAGAGGTGCCCCAGTGGTGCTAATGGGGACTCCCCCCAAAATCCCCCAGACCTCTCTGTGAGATTTCCGCAGTTCCCCATGGTGCCTGAGGGCAAAGCGGTGGTTGCACTGGCGCGGTGGGCATTGGCGAGGTCTGTTAACCCGCTCTCCCTGGGGCTCTCGTTTTGGTTTGGCAGGTTTGACACCTGGCTTTCTTCTCATTTAAAGCTGCCCCCCAGCTACCTGCTCAGCTACTTGGGCAACTACACCGATGATACCCAGAGCTGGAGGATGGTTGACATCACCCGCCTGACCACCAAGTACCAGCATGACCGGGCTGACCAGCGCATCTGCACCTCCCTGCTGAAGACCAAAACATGCAGCCTAGAGCAGGCCCTGCGCCGCACCCATCGCTTCCAGAAGTGGCTGAGGGCCAAGCGCCTCACGCCCGACCTGGTGCAGGTCAGTGCTCCACCGTGAAACTACGTCAGCCCATGGGGATGCACGGGAGCCTGCACAGGCTCTATTCCTACCTGAGGCACAAAGAGGAGGCCCGGACTGCCCTGTGCTGCAGGTGGGCCAGGCATGGCCTCTCAGTTTTACTCAGGAAGGGCAAGAGTGGGGCTCCTGGCTTCTTCTGTAGGCTGATGGTGAACTCTTTTCATTGGTGCCTGGGCTCTTTTCAGTGGTGTGCAGCAACAGGACAAGGGATAAGGGACATAAACTAGAACACAGGAAGTTCCATACATATATGAGGAAAAACTTTGTCAGTGTGAGTGACAGAGCACAGGAACTGGCTGCCCAGAGGTTGTGGAGTCTCCTTCTCTGGAGGTATTTAGGACCCACCTGGATACTTGCCTGTGCAACCTGCTGTACGAAACCTGCTTTAGCAGAAGGTTGGACCTGATGATCTCCAGAGGTCTCTTCCAACCACTGTTATTCTGTGGTTCTGTAAAACAGTAGCTGAGTGGCTCCTGAAAGCAAAACCACACTCCCCAAAAACACTTTCCCCTTATAAACAACAGCAAAGCATTTTAATAACTGTTGGCACAGGGTAGGGGCTATGTGCGCTCTGGAATGAGCCCCTATTAGGTGAGGAAGGATTATTCCAGTTCTTCTCAATTCTTTTCTTCCATCCTGAGAGCATCATTCTCCCTTTAATGAGGGAAGAGAAAGGGACTTGTTCATTTGTTTTCCTAAAAAGGCAACAGCTTCCTCCAATCTGCACACTGCCACACTGCTCAGCTTTGCTGTGTGCTACAGACACATTACTTTACATTTTCTATTTCATGGATCTGTATCTCCTGAAAATGAGCCCCCAGCTGAGCTGGCTGGAAAAAAAGGCAACATCACATCCGTTTTTAAGAAGGGCAAAAAGGATGCCTGGGAACTACCGACCTGTCAGTCTCACTTCTGTCCTAGGAAAGATAACGGAGCAGATTGTCCCGGAAGCTGTGCTATGGCGAATGGAACAGGGAGGTGATATAGGAAAACCAGCATTGCTTCATCAAGGGCAGTTCCTGTTTGGCCAACCAAGTAGCCTTTTATGATGGTAGCATTACATCAATGGACAAGGGAAGAGCAACTGAGGTCATCTGCCTTTACTTCAGTAAGGCCATTGACATGTTACCCCACAACATCCTTCTCTCCATATTGGATTTATGATATGGATATGGATATAAATATGGATTTAATGGGTAGACTGTTTGATGAACTAAGAACTGGCTGCAGGATTGAGTCCAGAGAGCAGTGGTCGATGGCTCCATGTCTGGATGAAAATCAGTGAGCAGTGGTATCCCACAGGGGTCAGTGCTGGGACCAATACTCTTTAATATCTTCATCAGTGACATTGACAGTGGGGTCAAGTGCACCCTTGGCAAGTTCACTGATAATACCAAGCTGTGGAGTGCAGTTGACACATCACAGGGACAAGATGAGCTCCAGAGGGACCTAGACAGGCTTGAGCAGTGGGCCTAGGTGAACCTCATGAGGTTCAACAAATCCAAATCCAAGGTCTTGCACCTTAGTCAAAGCAACATCCATTATCAATACAAGCCGGGGGTTGAAAGGATTGAGCGCTGCCCCGGTGAATGACAAGCTGGACATGAGCAAGATATGTTCCCTTGCAACCTAGGTAGCAAACTGTGTCTTGGGTTGCATCCAAAGAAGTGCGGCCAGCAGCTTGAGGGAGGTTATCCTGCCCCTTTACTCTGGGCTGGTGAGACCTCGCTGGGAGTACTGCATCCACATGGGGAGTCCTCAGTATAGTAGAGACGTGGATCTGTTGTGGCACATCCAGAAGAGGGCCACAGAAATGATCCAAGTGATAGAATACCTCTCCTACAAGGACAGGCTGAATGATCTGGGGCTGTTCAGCCTGGAGAAGAAAAGGCTGCAAGGTGAACTGATAACAGCCTTTCAGTTTCTAAACGGAAGCTACAGGAAAGAAGGGAACAGATTCTTTAGTAGGGTTTGCTAGTAGTGATAGAACAAGGCGAAATGGCTTCAAGCTTAAAGACGGTAGATTTATGTTAGATATAAGGGAAAAGTATTTTACAGTTAGGGTGGTGAAGCACTGGAACAGGCTGCCCAGAGTTGTGGTGAATGCCCCATTCCTGGAGACTTTCAAAGTGAGGCTGTGTCTGGGCAACCTGATCTAACTATGTATGTCCCTGTTCATTACAGTGGAGCTGGACTAGATGATTTTTAAGGGTCCCTTCCTACTCTGAAGATTCTATGATTCTTTGAACCTTTGAAGTGAACCTCAGGGCCAGCCCAGGAGGATGTGTCTAAGGACAAGCTCCATGGAACATCTCAGCAGTCCCAGCAGATTTTTAAGTGAAGAGAGGTCCTAACAGGCTGCAAGACCTGAATTAATACATGTTGGCCTCAGGACTGTGCCACTCCTGTTTTCATAGTTCTTTCACTCTGTAGATCAAGTGGAGGAATTGACATTAGTATGTAAATCTGTTTTAACAGCATGTAGACTGGGCTATAGAATTATAGAATAGAATCATTAAGGTTAGAAAAGATCTTTAAGAACAACTAGTCCAACCATCAACCCATCCCCAGCACTGCCCATGTTCCTCAGTGCCACATCCACACGGCTCTTGAACACCTCCAGGGACGGTGACTCCACCACCTCCCTGGCAGCCTGTGCCACTGCCTCACCACTCTTTCTGAGAAGAAACCTTTTCAAATATTCAACCTGAACCTCACCTGGTGCAATTTGAAGCCATTATCTCTCATCCTATCTCTGTTACCTGGGAAAAAAGGCTGACCCCCACCTTGCCACAACCTCTTTCAGGTTATTGTAAAGAGCGATAAGGTCTCCCCTGAGCTTCCTCATCTCCATTCTGAACAATCCCAGTTTTCCCAACCTATGCAGAAGAGCACATTGGTCTCACTTGGTCCAACTTGCCCACAGCCACAGGAGCACCTCAGAAAATGCAGGCTAGCGTAAGCCATCAGAGGGGTTTTGTTGGGATACAGTTAGCCACTGTGAATTCTTTCCCGTAGCACTACTTTTCTGGAATTTTTGGAAGTGCTAATAGTGAGTGCACTGCTCGTGCCCAATGCAATTCCCACCCTATTTCATGATCCTATGGTCACCCAAGGATTCCTGCTCTCCCCTCACTGCAGTATTGGCACTGAGACAAGCTATTGGGCTGAACTAATTTTGTCTTTTGTAACAGGCAATCACAGCAACCCTCCACATTCTCAAATCAGGATGACAGACCGTGAAGTGAAGCTTTTCCACTTTACGCTGCCTGCCCTGCCTGCCCCAGCTACCAGCAGAGCTGCCACATTGATTATTTCAGCCATCACAATGAAAATCGTTATCAGAGGCAGCAAAGCCTTCACTACTAAAATTCTGCTGGGAGTGAAGCTCAGCTCAGGCTCTGTGCTGTTGCCTATCCTGGCTTTTGTAACCCATGCAGCAGCACCACTGCGCACTGCTTTGCCTGCACATTGGCCCAGAAGCTTGTCACTACAAACCAGATTGCTGGTTCACTGTGTTGGAGGGGAATAACAACAAAAATGTGGCCCAGTTTCAGTATAGGTTTCCTGCAGGAAAAGTTATAACCCTGGCTACAAACACGGCCTGGAAAACATGCAAGGGTAGTAGCAGTGGTGATACAGAGGAGATGAGTTCCACGGCTTCATAAGGCAGTCTCAGGTTCTGTTTTTGGAGGTGAACAGAACGCTTGGCTTCAAGTGGCCAGGAGCTGCATATGCTTCATCACCTACATCAGGAGTCTTCTGCTGGGTCCCATCCCAAGCTTGGTTTGGTGAAGCTGTATCCAGGCAGCAGTGCATGGAGCAGCACTGAGCAGTGCTCCTAGGCTGTGTTGCTCTCTCTTGGACTGGCTGAATAGAAAACAAAGTGAAGAAAATATGTCTTCCAGAGTCATCTTTTCATCCTGTCTGATGGATTCTGGGTACACCGACATGAGATGTGCATACATATGCATACATGGGAGTTTAACACAGATCACATGTTATGCAGTAGGGAATAGATATCACAGTTGAGTGTAGGTAGGCATTGTAGGAAGTACTCAGTACAAAAATGTAGGAATTTAATCAAAGTAAATAAGAAGCTTTCCATTGTCAATCACAAACAAGATGTCAGGCTGCCTGTCAAGTCTTATTCTCCAGGGTGGTAAGACACTGCAAAGGACAGGAGATACTCTGAGATAAATCACTTTCTTCAATGTCTTCAAGTGTACATGCTTCAAATTTTTCTTCCATTGGCAGTTTTTGTCTGACAGTTTTACAGCTATGGCTGTAGGTATGTTCCATCATTCTGCTGGAAACAAGAACCCTGCTCTGCTGAAACACCAATGCAGGTGCCAAACTTCCTACATTTGTGTAGCTCTGCCAAATCCAAAAGTCCCCACCACCCAGTTTTTGTGGACCAGGGTTGTCATTAAACTGTAGGAAACTGCACCAGTATTTGATATATATGTGGCAGCACCAGTGGATGAGCATCTGGAATTTTGTTTGGCTCAGTGGGAGGTGCTAGGGCTGGCAGCTAAGGCTGAGTACTCTTCATGCACTCCCCTGTGCCTACATGGCTCCAAGCTGAAACCCCACTCACCAGCTCTGTGTCAACTGAAAAGGGAAATAATCGAGCTTCATCAGGTGTCAGTCACTGTGTTAGTCATGAAAACCCTGAAAGCATTGTTGCCATTCTTTGGACCTGTTCCAGCACCTCCATGTCCTTTCTGTACTGAGGTGCCCAAAACTGAACACAGTACTGATGGTGGAACCTCACCAGTGCTGAGTACAGAGGCAGGATGACTTCCCTAGTCCTGCTCACCACACCATTCCTGATACAAGCCAGGATGCCATTGGCCTTCTTGGCCACCTGGGCATGCTGCTGGTTCATATTCAGTCAACTGTCCATCAGTACACCAAGGACCCTTTCCATCAGGCAGCTTTCCAGCCACTCCTCCCAAAGCCTGCAGGGTTGCCTGGGGTTATTGTGACTAAAATGCAGAACCCAACACTTGGCCCTATTGAAACTCATACAGTTAATCTTGGCCCATCAATCGATCCAGTCTATCCAGGTCCCTCTATAGTGCCTTTCTCCCTTCTGGCAAATCAACTCCTCCCAACTTGGTGTCATCTGCAAAGTTAATGAGAGTGCACTCAATCCAGTAATTAACAGTTTGTGCAGGAAAGGCTGTGAGAGATCTACCTCAGAGCTACCAAATGACTTGGGGAGATTCTGAGTCAAATTTTTGCTCCCAGCATGAAGAACAGCAGGCAGCAAATGTGAACACAAGTGCCCTGTCCTCTGAAGAGTATCTCACAGCCACCAAATTAGAAAGTAAACCCAAAAGATAAATTTGGCTACTTGAATCATTTGGTAATGATGGCAATGATTCAAGAAAAAGTCTTAGCAAAAGCCTAACTCCAACAGAGGAAAGGCTGGGCAGCATTTTTGCACTGCTATCGGGAGCCCTCCCCACATCATCCTTCCTTCGTAACTGAACACTGACTTTAAAAAAAAAAGGTCTTTTTCTACAACACAGGTATAAATGTATATGCCATTTATCCCAGCCGTAGGTCACTTACTACAATTTTACACATTCATGCCCCCAAATTAAAAGGTGAAATACAGTGACGCTGAAGCCATTAGCCCAACACTTCTTTACTCATTGCTGGCATCTACTAGAAAATATGCCCAGGTTATTCCAATCTATTTCTGATAGCTAATGCGTAAGTTTTTCAGAGAAATAATATATGTTGTGCTGGTACCCATGTACAAAGTTTATTTACAGTTTTAAAGCATGTTTACTGACCTTAAGGAAAAGTATTTCCAAGAATGCCGCTTGTAGGCTAAGCAAGCAAGGAAGCACTCTGAAAACATTGTTTGAAGAAGGATGTGACTCACTGGCAGAGCAAAGAAGAGGCAGCCACAGGCTAGTGGTGCTGCCAAGGCTGGAGGCAGGAGCGCAGAGCTTGGCAAGGAAGGAAATGGAGTTGGTGGAGACCATGGCTGTGCCATGAAGACTGGGTACCATTTTCAAAATCTGTGATATCTCACAGATGGAAGATAAACATTCTTCTCACGTTTTGCCCCTACAACAGGGTCTGTCCAGCCCCTTGCTGCGCTGCCCATCCCAGCGTCTTCTGGACCGGATTGTGCGGCGCTACGCTGAAGTGCCAGATGCTGGCAGCATCTACATGGACCACCTCACCGAGCAGGACAAGCTGCGCCTCCTGTACACACTGTCAGTGAATTCACACCCTATCCTCTTACAGGTAGGTACCGTCTGCCCTGGCTGGAAACATCACCCTGCAGCCTCTTGCAAGCATGAGACGTGCGCCAGTCCTTGCTGCCTTTTGCAAGCTCCCCAAAATTCATGGCGCATGTTTCTTCTATGGGGCTGGGTGATTGAAGCCTCCTGCAGGCTTCTTGCATCAGACTGTAAAGTTGCTGAGAGATACAGATGCCCAACCCCTGAAATAAATCAGAGCCAGATGGTTTATTACAATAGTGCAATGTGAAAGACGGGGTTTTACGCATCTCCAATGTTTCACTGTCATGTTTGCAATTGATAATATATTACTCAAAATCACAGTTTGTTTATAAAATCCAGAGTATTTATAAAAAACAGAGATCATGCATTAGCATGTGAAGTCAAGATGCAGCATTCTGGTGGAACATGAATTCACAGGGCACAGATTTCCTAGGCTCAGTGTGCTGTGGCTGTTATTGTTTGCATGCCTCTGGTTGCTAGCTCCATAGCAGAGGGCAGCGCTAAAGAGGTGTTTGGTTGGATTCAGCCAAACCATACAACTGAGCTCTGAGTTTGAAGGTAGGGAGCTTCTCTGGTCCTCTCCTGGCACATGATCTCCTCTCTTCCCTTGTAGGTGTCTCCAAGGGAATATCCTCACCACAATCTCTCCTCTAGCTGTCACTGCTATTTCTTGCATCCCTTTCTGATAATGATGCAACCTCTTCTACCTGCCTCGAGCCACTGTGCTCCTCCACCCAGGGAGGGGGAACAATGCGCAGTGGAGCAGTTGAGCAATTTCCACCCTGGGACATAAAGGCCTGGGGCAGCTTCACTGCCAGCACGACAGTTGTAAGCTCCGTTCAGATGTCCCCAGTGCAGCAAATATCCAGCATGTCCATCTGGAAGCCTGCAAAGTCTCATCTTTGAGAGAGGCCACACAGGTCTTAGAAATCAGTTGAAATTACTCTAGCTCCACCTCACCTTCAAGCTGTGACTTCAGCTCTGTCGTTCTCATAAGGGAGCCATCAAAAACCCCACAGAGAAACCTAAAATTAGCTCTTCTGCGTCTAAAAATTTAATGAATTTAGAATCTATTATTGTCTTATGCATTCCAATTAGTCTACTTCATGGAACAGATTTTGAAATATCAGACTCTTCTTCCTTAGCTGCCAGAAGAAAAGATAAACGTAGTATGGAGCAGTGCCTCCTCTTGCTGCTGGGGCATTTGAAGTCACCTGGAGGGAGGTGGGCTCATGGGCAGAGAGCATAGTGAGCAGGGTCGGGTGTCAGCGCTGCTCTCCCCTCTCCTGGCAGATCTTCCCTGATGTGGAAGGGTGGCCCTTCCCACGGTATCTGGGCTCCTGTGGGCGGCTGGTGGTCAGCGCCAGCACCCGGCCTCTGAGCGACTTCTTCAGGGCAGCCCCTGAGGTGGCAGCTGACCTGGCCCTCCAGCTCCTCGCCGTCCTCCGCTCCATGGGCAACAACGACCTCAACTATTTCTTCTACTTCACCCGTGTGGACGTTGGCACCTTTGGCGTGTTCAGCAACGGGCATCTGTTCATCCGGGATGGCAGCACGCTGGGCATCATCGACAAGGAGGAAGGTACTCAGCAGGCTCTGGGCCCATGCGTCTGTCAAAGGGGGGCTTGGCACAACAGGGCAAAACAAATTATTCACCTATTATGTTCAGCCCTTCTGCTGATTTATTTTATTTATTTTTTGATCAACCAAACATCACTTGCTAAGCTTAAACAATAGAAGGTTCAAGGAGAGATTTACCAGCACTAAGAGGCAGTCCCTCCAAGCAGGGAAATTGAGCAGGCATTTTGCTTATGCCTTCAGTGGAGCGGGGACTGATGGATGCTCTGCATGTGGGTCTCAGTCTTACATCTTCCTCTCTGTAATGGGCAGCAGCATTCAGTGCGCTCTCCGTTATGCACTCACTACATTATTTCTCTTTTGTAAAACATATATCATACAAATGTCAGTATTTGCAAAGAGATTCTTCATAGGTTCATTTGTTTCAAGTAAAGCATTGTATTTACAGTGTATATAATACAGTGTATTTACAGTGATAGTATTAATACAGTGATAACAAAATTCCTCTTTTGTCAGTCTTGCTTAAAATGAAGTATTGCTATTCACTTTCCACAGGTTAGACTGGTCTACTACTGGAAGTAGAGCTAGACAAGGAATATTTCAAAGAATATTATTATTTAACAATTTCATTTTGAGTGTTTAGTTTTTCAGAAGACCTTTGCTCAACTTAAATATTCAGCTGAATGCATCTCAAATATTTAGAAAGAGTTGTCAGAGGATTTTCCACTCAGTGTTTTTTTTCTTGTCCCAGCAGATATTATGGTTGTCTTGACTCCAGCTAGATGAGCTGTTTTTGCGATTTAATGATTTTGGGTAACATGGAAAGAATACGGGTTTAACTGTTTGTAGTGGTTTCTGTAGGAACTCCATGTTCTAAGTTATTGCTCGGGTTCTTCCCATTTCTTCCACCCCACTTTGACCCAACAGACGTCTCTCCATTTCCTGTGCAGGGCAGTTCAGTAGAGCCCTGTCATTCATCAGGAAACGTGTATTTCAGTAGGAAAAAACCCATACACAGATTGCACAGTGTATTTTGAGGTGAAAGACTCTATCCTTTAGAGACAAGTAACCCTATATTAACTCAGAGGTATAGACATACGTGATTGTGCAGCAATTTGCTCCCATCTGCCTAACAACTGTTTTAATTATCTTTATCAGGGAGCCAACCAATGGATGGCCAACAGGACTATAAGGATATCTTTAGCTGTTTGACCATGGACTGCCAGTCTGCATTTGTGTCCTGTAACTCCATCAGAGAGAAGCAGAGCCTTGTCTTGGTGTGTCAAGAGCTTTTACCTAAGCTCCTGAAGGGGAAGTTCCTGCCACCTGTACAGGAGAAAATAGACAGCTTCCTACAGCACTGCGTAGAGGGCCTCACTGATGACCAGGATGTCAATGAGGCAATGGCAAAGCTGGCACATCTCCTGAAGCCTCTACAGTCTTGTGATTCACGTTTTGCCTACCGCTACCCGGACTGCAAATACAGTGACAAATACTGATGGTTTTGAAGGAAGGCTGCCCAAGAAGGATTGGGCAGGGTCATCCCCAAGCAGTGTAAGAAGAAGGAACCAGAGTAGCTGAAAGGAGCTGCACCAATTCCGGAGCTTCCTCACAGAGATGAAGGAGTTGGGAACAGAGTGCACATAGGATTTATTGTTCATCTCCCACAGATGCATTTGTTACTTGGGATGTTAGATGTGATGTAAGGCTTATGGATTATAAACATTATCATGAGGGACAGAGACTACAGGATTAATAAATCTTCTTCATGTATTTTGGCCTTGGAAGAGTTTTCCATGCCATCCATTAAAGAGAAGACCTCTGAAGGCAATGTGCTCACAGCTAGCTAGATAGCAGAATTTTATTGCCAAGTACAATTTCCTGATCAAGATGATTTATACATGATGTGAGATGGATGGAAGCATTTAAGACTTTATTTGTGGAGATTTTTAATGCTCTAAAAACCATAGACAAACTGAGCCACCTGATGAGTTCCTTACCTTCATTCATCACAGATCACCCAATGTCTCTTGAGACCTAATTTTTCTAATCCTACAATATACTTACTTTTAGTCTTTTCCAAGTTAATTGGCAGTAATTGGAGTCTAATAAGTGTTCTTGTTTACAGGTTAAAAACAAACCAAAATAACAACAAAAAAACAACTCTTAGATGTGGCTGTCCAGAAGACACTTTCATACTTTTCTCTCTAAAGCAAACAGGAAGGAAGCATTTAAACAAAACCATTCAAATGGGAAAATTACCTTAAGAAGAGAAACAACATGGCCAGAGGTTGAGATATTAGTTTACCCTAGCAGTGAAACCATCTGAACATCTATCCCTACTTCCTCATTCATTTGCTTTTTAAAGGAGAAATTGGAAGTCAGTCCCAAAGGATTGACTCAGGTACCTACAATTTGAGGTGGTGGACTCGTGTTTTCACACAGAATTAGACACATGTGCCTTGTTTTCTGCAGAAAGGTTGCAGAAGTTGCAGAATAGAAAAACACGGTTTGCCTAGAATCAAAGAATGCCTGAAGTTTGAAGAGACATCTAGAGGTAACCAGGTCCAACCCCTGCTCCAGCAGGCACACCAAAGGTAGGGTGTCCAGGTGGCTTCTGAACATCTCCAAAGAGGAGACTCCACAACCCCTGTGGCAGCCTGTGCCTGTGCTCCATCACCTGCATAGTGCTGCTGTTCAGATGGAGCATCCTGCTTTCTGGTTTGTGCCCACTGCCTTTCGTCATGTCACTGGTAACCATCTAATCTGTGTTGATCCCCAACCCACGAGTTCTTTGTGAGGTGTCAGAGAAACACACTAAACTTTCCCTATGTTCAAGGGGGCTACTTCTCTTCTGGTATTCAGGCATGCAGGAGTCACCGACCATATTTGACTAAGCTGAGTCAGAAGCTAAATGTTCTGGATCCCCCTGTAAGTATTTTCATCATGGAAACAGTCTTCCTCTAGCCATGGTTCAAAAAAGAAACCAGTAACAAGCATAAAACCAGAAAAAGATGATAGTGCATTTGCATTGGTAATGATTGTACAGAGTTAAAGGGAACAGGAAAGCAAAATTTTGTGCTGGCTGTGGAGGGGTTCTGTTCACACAGAGCACTGGGCCTGGGGTGAAGGCAATGCATGTCAGGTATCCAAAAACACATGCCATTCTGACACTGGGAAAATGTGACCTAGGACATTTACTTTTCCTCTTGGCATGAAACATTAAGTGCACCTTTCACCTCTCAAGAAGCAGAAACATTGAAAATAAAATGTAGGTAAATTTAGCTTGAGGTCCAGATGGTTCAACAGAAAAAAATGTTTAAATATACAGCCTAAGCTACTGTTGCAGCCTTCTTTCATGATTTCAGTCTATTTCTACATCATGGCTCTCTTCCAGTATGAAAAACATGTCCTTTGCTAGATCCATAAGGCTGCCTAACAATCTGTTTTCAACAGTTTTTCTGGAATCTGTCTGCATCTTTGATCTCTCAGTCTGTGATTTTACCTAAAGCTGCACCTTGGCACCAGGCTGCTTTCCCTCCAGCAAGGGAAACTTGCTGGCAGCCCCTCACTGGGGAAGGAAAATCTCCTGCTCCACCACCACTCACTAATTAGTAATTAGGTGCTACCCCCTGGGATGCTTGTTGTCATCTTGCACTCAGTGCTGAAGGGCTCGTACATTTGTAAGCAAAATTGTCCAAAAAGCCCTAACGGGAAGAACTCATCTGGTCCAATAGAATCACAGACTCATGGAATGGTTTGGGTTGGAAGGGACATCAAATCCCACGCTGCCCCAACCCCTGCCATGCTGGGCTGCCCCCCACTGGCTCAGGCTGCCCTGGGCCCCATCCAACCTGGCCTTGAGCACCTCCAGGGATGGGGCACCACAGCTTCTCTGGGCAGCCTGTGCCTCACCACCCTCTTCTTCACATCTAACCTAAATTTCCCTTCCCTCCATGCCACAGGAGAAATCATTTGCAAACGGTGGGTCTGCGGAAAGGTCTTCACTGTCAACTCATGACTCAGGTCTGAGCCAGCACCAGGCAAAAGGACTTATGGGCTTTGAGTGGACCCTGACATCCTGTGATCCTAAAATGCCACGTGGAGGAATGGAGGAGCCATGGCCTTACTCTGCTGCTGGACCCAGGTGGCAAAATGTCAGCAGGAGTTTTATGGCACGTAGGGTCTACTTTCACACAACTTGCTTAAAAGTTGTTGAAGTTGAGAAGGGTGTCCCTACTTCCTTCAGTAGGCTTCTATATAATTTTTTTTTTCAAATGTGATTAAAAATATCTGGATCGTGGATTTAAAAATACAAAAGCAGCAGAAGCTGCAGTGATCAGCAGTTTCTCTTCAGACATAGATTACAAAGGCCAAGCCTATGTAAGACCATGACTAATATGCCAGCCATAGAATCAGTCCATGGCTCAGAAAGTAATAATTTTCCTAAACTAAATCTTATTTCCCTGTATTTCTCTGGCCTTCTTTTTTCACTGCCAATTTTTTACTTTAATATTTTCTTTTCTCTTGGCAGTCAGACCCTGGAATCAGTGCCCACCCTGTCTGCCAGCTTCAGTCAGGCCTTGAAATGCGAGTAGGCCACAATCCAAAAGGATGTGAAATTAATTTATAAATGGCAATTATTTTAAACCTAATCCTCCCCAAAAGAACTCTCGAGTAATTTTTTCCTCTCTGCATTTGAGTTATTTCTGACAGCGGCTTTGTGCAAGCCTTTGCAAACTGTTCCTGCTAACAACGTAGAGCATTCCAGCCCTGCTGGTTTCTGCAACAAGAAGAGAAACTGCCTTGGTCCTCTACCAGTCCTACATGCAGTCTGAATGCTTCCTATATCTCTGCGGTCTTTATGTCCATGTGTTTATTAGGTGTCTCTCTTGCTGTATAATATCCTGCATTTTTTTTAAGCTTTTATGTCAAGAGAGTCTTGGTTCATAAAACTGTATTTTCTGCCATGTTTCATCTAGTGGCATACTTTAATACTCTCATTTCTCAGGGTGGCAGCAAGTGATCATCACTTTACTCCCTACGCCCCTCTGGGCTTCCCACAAGGTGCTATCCAGAAAGCATTGTGGCATTTTCAAGAATCTGGTATTGGTGCTCAACAGCTCCTTTTTGCTGGAGCAGCCGAACACATTTTGAGTGAGGGCCTTTACAGCAAGCTCAGCCAAATGATGTTCATTGTAGGTGCTTTTCATTTGCCTTCTGATTATCTGAGACTTTAGGGTGCTCTTGGATCTCATCTGCCAATCACTCTCTACAGCCAGGTGCTCCAGATACTTTATTGCTAATTCCTCCTAAGTGAAACCTCAGCTTCTTCCATTATCACATGAATCTGGAGAGAAAAGCCATAACAAAATTCTTGAATGTCACGAGACACATGAAATCACAATAGCCGGCACCAAGGCTTTCTGAATTGGTTTAGCAAGATGCATTAATTTGATTAATAGGTATATCTAGTTGCCACTGTATCCTATGTTACTCTAACTCTCTGCTAAAAGGAGCCCGGGTAGGCATCTTGAAATTCAGAACAAGTAAACATAAATTTCAGGGAAAGAAAAATGAAATGAAAACAGCTGCTCATGGAAAGCACACTGTGGGGACGTAGAGATGGAGGTACCCTTTTCTTCCTTACTGGTTAGAGAAAATGGCTAAATCATCTGCTCTCCTCTGCAAGGAGATGAACTCAGCCAAAAGGTGTCTGGCTTGTTCTTAGCCACTGTCATCAAGGAAGGCTTGAACAGCTAAAAAGAGACCCACAGGGGAGGGTGAGGTTGACCCAGAAGTCCAGAAAAAATAAAACAGAAGAAAAACAGACAGAAAGACGGGACACTTAATAAGAATAATCAAACAGAAAGAAGGTATCAAGAACAGGATGAGAATAAGCTGCTCTTAGAATTCTGTGATTGTGTCATTCTTCACTTCAGTGTTGGACAGGAATGTGGGTTTATGTGGTAGATAGTACACTAGATATGCTGCAGTAAGACTAGCATGGAAATGGGTAGAGGATCTGCAAGGTCTGTGCTTTTAGGAGACCTGAAGCCTCATGATTGCACATGGCTCCTAGAAGAGTGGAGGCTGGCTGCTGGAGATTATCCATGCAAGGGTGGCCACTGATGTTGGGAGCCCCACTCACCTCAGTTATCTCCAGCAGCTGTGACAAAATGTCAGCCCTTAGAGCTTTGGCTCATATATCTTACATGGAGACAAATCCTCCTAAAAGAAAAGGAGAAATTGGAGGACCACCAGAAGGGAAGGAGCAGCAAGAATAATCCGATTTTCTCACTACAGATAGAAACTGTGTTTCTGGAATAGTTCTACTCTGCAGCATTTTACATCTGTGCTCTTTAGAGCAATGAGAGGAAGCTCTTCTTTCTCAACAGATCTCTAGTTGGAGCTGAAGGATGCTGCTTGTCCCATAAAGGAGTCCCCACTGCCACCAGCACTCCTTGATCCTGCTTTAAGGGCCGTGAAAATCCCACTACTGTTTCTCACCTCTTCCTACTACCAAGCTGGGTCAGGGGCTGGTTATGTGACCCCAGCCCTCTCCTAATTTTACTAGGAAGACAACAAATGTTGCCTCAGCAGGAAGAGACAAATGAGCACTGGTGAGAGCCAGAGCTGCACCTCCTTCACCTCCACCACCTCCACCAGGTCCCTGTGTAGCACCTCTCCAACAGCACCTCACTTCTTTAGGGACGAACTGGCTGGGATTTGCAGCTTTTTAACACCAAGCTCTATTCTTTCTAACACAATGTATATAAATTTAGTCTAAAGCAAACTTGTTCAGTGTTTGAAAGAGCAGGAATACTCCAACCTCTTCTCTTGGGAATTTAAGTAACAAGTTTGTCAGGTTTCTCAGTCCTATAGTACTACTATAGAGCAACAATACATACAGATACAACCTTGCCTTACATAGTTCATCTGGTATGTTACATGTAAAGTAGCTTTTTAGATTAACACCTACGGAAATGTCATGTTAAGTTCAGCATATTATGTGTTTTAAAAGGACCATGTCAGTCATGCTGTATTTCTTTTTCCTTTCAAAATTTAAACATTCAGTTGGATAGAGGCTTGTCAATTTCATTCCTCTAGTGATGTCTTAAAATAGTGAGCTTTTCTTCTTCTGAAAAAAAAATAATAATAATAATAATCAAGCCATTATGAATAATCAGATTTTTCACAGTGATGAAAAGACTTCCCTCTCTTCGTGTTCTTGGTATATGAAAAACTCAAGAGCGGTTCACCTTTGGATTTTTGCTCTGCTCTGGCTAAAGCAGCTGTAAACATTGACTCATTTTTTCCAACCTCCTGAAGCTGGAGACAAAGAACTGTTAAATGTTTGTACTACCTCTACTAGCCAAACAAAGCAAGGACTTGCCTACAATCCAGGTACTGATGAGGAAAAGGAGGGAAAAGACACTGGAATGATGATGGAACTCCATCACTCCATATGTCACTGAAGGGAGTCTCTGTATCACCACTCCTCTTCCAAAATATAAATCCCCTCAGCAGATGGGCAAAGGCTGGGAATTGCCCAGGTTTTGGGAAACTAGTTACATATTCTTTCCCATTTTCACTCACAGCATTGCTTGCATTGCCTGTCTCCTTCCACCGGAGACTGGGTCTTTGTGTCACCTTTGCCATTGTGAAGGCTGCACAGGATCATACCTCACAAGTCCCAGAGAATCACAACATTTTCCAAGGAAGACTGGGGTGATGCCTGATTCTCAGGGGCTTTCATCATAGAATCGTGGCTTGGGTTGAAGGGACCTCAAAGACCATATATTTCCAACCCCTGCTGTGGGCAGGGCTGCCTCCCCCAAGCTCAGGCTGCCCAGGGCCCCATCCAACCTGACCTTGAGCGCCTCCAGGGATGGGGCACCACAGCTTCTCTGGGCAGCTGTGCCAGCGCCTCACCGCCCTCTGGGGAAAGAATTTCTGCCTAACATCTAACCTAAATCTCCTCTCTTTTAGTTTAAAGCCATTCCTCCTCATCCCATCACTATCTATCTGTATATCTATAATGTTGATTTCCCTCCTGCTCATAAGCTCTCTTTAAGTTTTGGTTGTGTTTTCTGGATTCACTCACACGGGTTTCCCTTTTTGTCTACAAGGGCGGCTGAAAGAAAGCAACTGTATGAGCAGAATGGTGAGAAAATCTCAGAGGGAGCTTGCTTTGTCAGAGTGCTCTGAGAAAGCTCTCAGAAGTGAAGCAGTTCAGGTTTTTATCCAACAGTAGCATTGGTGTTTCTGAGTGTGTCATCCAACGGGAGTGGACATCCTGCTGGAGGGGGGATGTGATGGGGGCTGTGGGGCTGGGCTGAACTTCACAGTTGCACTCCCCTAGGTAGGAGCCAAGAAGAGCTTGCTAAAAATACAGCTTTTGCATGACCGAAGGATTGTATTTACAGCAATATAAAGTTACGGGGAAAGGGAGGCTGAGCAGAGTAGCTTCCAAATGGGGAACAGAAATACAAATCTGACCTTGAGCTTTCACAGAAATGTGCATACTGTTACTCTAAAAATTAGTCTAAACCCCTTAATTCAACTTTCTGAGTTGTGTATGGAGCCCAGCAGGAAGGCCTTCTGCTGTGATGGCTGCCCAAGTTCTTCTTGAACTGCCGTGCAACAGTGGGATCTGTTTAAAGACACTGCATTAGAAACTCAGAGTAAATATGTACCAAAAATAAATTAAAAAAATAACTACAAATTACACCCCAGGTGGCTAAACAGCAGCACAGCAGCATGATTCAAAGGAAACAGACACCTTTCAAAGAAGCAGAAAACAAATGTAGAAACTAGGCAAGTTAGGTGTAGAATCAGAATAAGGCAGTCCCAGAAAAATAGAAATAAAAATAAAAATAAAAATAAAAATAAAAGGAGCTACTCGCTAACAGCATGGATGCTGATTAAAAAAAAAAAGAAAAAGAAAAAAAAAAAAGGAAAAACCCAACATTTCTCCAACACAGCAGAAGCAGAACATCTGCCAAAAGAGGTGCTGTGGCCAGCAGCAACCTCAACACAACGAGACTTGGGGAAGAGAAGGCTGAGAAAGAAAATGAAATCAGTCTTTTTCAAAGATACTCACAGGCAGAGCCTCAAGGAGGAAATAGGAATAGGAGCTTCAGCCCATCTGCTTAAAGCAAAATCAGGTGAAATTTATCCAGACCTCCCTGGGTTTTAGAGTATGTTGGAAGTGAGAAGTGTCACAGACCTTCCCTCTACAAATGGGACTCCAGTGTTGCTCTGCTTCCCACACACAGCAGCAGCCCCTGTGAATTTCCCAGGTCACGGAGATGGCTGGCAAGGAGGGCTGGGTCTCCCCAGGGAAGCACAGGACATGGCTGGGCTCCCATTCTGATGAGCAGAGAAACATCTTCTTGGGTGGAAGAGGTGCCGCCTGCTTTGTGATATCCATGAAATTAAAGATGTGAATAATTTAACAGTATTTATGAATAAAGCTATTGCAACATAGCTACCGATGACTCACTGCCTTCTCAGGGAAACACCCTAATTTTCCACTAATATTTCCTTTTGGAGAAAAAAGAACATCAACTCTTGAAGGAAATAAGCTTATCCTAATGCATAAACACCGTCTTAATATCTGCGCTGTGAGTGGGAGGGAGAGAGATGGGTAATAGAACATGGGAGTTTTGAGATCCCAGATCTATTACATTAGCTTGCCAGCACAGCCACTTCACATGTCTGGAAATATTCATTCAGGACAAACCTTCATCATAATCAAAACCAAACAGTCGTTCAAAAACGGATCTTGTGTAGTTATAGAGGGCAGGTGCTCTCAAGAGACTTTTTGTTTCAACAACTGAAACAGCTACTAGTGGATGTGCATGGATTAAAACAAGTATCTCTCCTCTGCTAGACTCAAAATGGTCCAAAGGAGTCAATCAGGTGTTTGTTTGCTTTTTGGAGTTTAGGAACCTCAGGAATGGAA